CACCCATTATGGTCCCAAAGCGACCACCTTTCCCCACGACTCACCCATAACTTTTACACTTTGTCCCATTAATTTCTAACACTTGTAGCTGAAGGGAAGTAAGTATATATATATATAGCAAGTGTTAAAATGGTGAGAAAAATTTTAGCAACCCGTAGATACCAAAAATTAGGAGAGAAAAGGCAAGAAAGAAGAGAAAGGAAAAAAAAACATGAGGAGAGAAAGGAAGGGAAAGGAAAAGAAAGAAAGAAAAAGGAAGGGAAAGGAAAAGAAAAAAAAAAGCTAAGGAAAACTAACCACATCTAAGCTAGGTAAGTGGGTTTTACTTCATGCTTGTTCTTTCTATGAATCTAATTCATGTATTTAATTAAGTTATTGCTTGTATTGTTATGGTTTGATTTGTATTGGCTTGGTATGGATGGCTTGGTTTGAATTTATTGGTTATATTGTCTCTATGTGCTCCTTAAGTCTATCATTGCTAGTGTATATTTTATCATGTGTTGATGATTGTGGGATAAAAAAATTTAAGGACTTGTACCGAAAATGGGGATAAAGAAATTGGAAGAGAAATAAAGAAATGCTTAGCACTTTCTTAAAAACCCATTCGGCCTAGGAATCCTAAAGTGAGCACAATTGGATTTCTTTTATGAACTTTAAGGCCTATAACCACTAGCAATCCAAATAAGTGCAAAATAATAAGCTAGAGTGGAATAGATTTAATAAAAATGGAAGGCAAACCTTAGGCTATTTTGAGGACTTTATGACCTTTCAACCTTGTGATTAAGAGTTAAATTACATTTAAACAAGTGTAGAATAAAATACTAAGAGGTAAGAATTCAAGAGTAAAATCGAATTCATGACCTAGGCCCATTGGGGATAAAATTCGGCTATAAATACCCAAGCTAGGGTTGGGAAAGAAATCCTAATTTGGTACATACGGATTAGTTAGTCCCAACCATCCAAGTCTTATGAGTAATGATTTAATAGTACCTAGAATAGAATTTTACCTTGGTATGCCACAAAGCAACCCTTAAAATCAATGGCCATATAAATCAAGTGAAATGATGAAACTCATCGAAAATAATCGAGAAAGCGTGCCCACGTGCAAAAGAAAATTGGTGGCCACATAAATCAAGTGAAATGATGAATCTCACCGAAAATAATCGAGAAAGCGTGCCCACACGCAAAAGAAATTGGTGGCCGACTATTATTAGTCAGCAAGTGATGGGCCCTCTTCGAGGGAATACAAGTGTAGGAATGGTATGAAAATGTATGAAAACCCCGTGTGGGTTGGACCTAAGGAGACCCCGTGTGGGTCGACCTACGAGAACCCTATGTGGGTTAGACCGATGAAAATATCTAGAACCAAACCCCGTATGGGGAAAGAATTTATAGTGTAAGGTTGGTGCCCCTAGTACGTTTAACATGGTAAACATAACATCACGTGCATAGTGGGTGGTTTAAGACAAGTCAATTGATTGAGAAATGGTTTATACATCTAGGTTTGATAATCTAACCGGAATAAATAGGTATTAATAGTCCAAGTACTCTAAGTTGTGTGCTTGTACTATTAGACGATGGATTCCCGTTAATAGTAGTTACAACGAGGGATAATTCCATTATAGCAGAAGATGATCCGAGGATCATCCGGATGAAATTAAGTCGTGTGCTTACGCCGTTAGACGGTGGATTTCCGTTAACGTAGTTACAACGAGGGATAATTTCGTTGTAGCAAAAGGTGATCTGCGTACCACCCGAATAATAAATAGAGTAGATCGGCTAATACCTGTGGTACCCAAGATTAAAATTTATGACTATGGTGGGAAGTCAAAACAACATTGCATATCACGTAAATCACCCCACTTATTGAGATTCGGCTCACCCCGTTGTTATTTTTATGTCGTGACGTAAAAAGAAAAAATTGATACGGATGCGGTTGGCTCCTCCTAATCGTCTCATGTGAGGCACCATATATTAGTTTTTATTTTATCCGTAAATTTGGAGTATGGAGTTTGTGAGAAATTGACTATTGCTCGTAATGTTTCATTAATGTATTTAATTATGTTATGTAAATTTTATCTTAAGGAGTTATATACGTAACGTATCGTTTAAGTTTTAAGAATATCATAAGAGAACTACTTAGAGTTTAGTGGTATGTCGACGTAACACGTTTTGTCCAAGCACTCTACTGGGTAGTAGAAATATGGTCAGGGCGGGAGTTACGTATATTATTTGAAAAATTTATAGTGATAAGTTGACACGTATGATATACATACTAATCGATGATATGATAGATTAATCAAGATATGACACTAATAATTAAAAAAACCGCTCGTGAATATAATTTTCTTATTTTTTTTATTTACTTTTATGATAAAATATAAAACAATATTACAAAATTAACTAGAATCAAAACACTTTTGGAGGGAAATTTCTCCTTTTTTATTTTTTTATAATATATAAAAATACAACAAAAATTACATTTTACTCAAAAAGTAACATTTAGTTAATTTTTAATATATTTTTATTAAAAATTTAAATAAAGAATTATCCCAAAAAATGTTTTTAGTTAATTTTTTAATATTCTATATAAAAAATTAGGGGAGAGAGAGAGAGAGAGAGATTTGTAAAGTTGCGAAGGCTAATGCGGACGAAGGCTAACAAGTATAAGGCACTCGTGTCGAAAAAATAATAGATCTAATTTTGATTACTATAAAATTAATTTTAAAATACTTCACTATATATATATATATATATATATATATATATATATATATATATATATAAGTAAACAGCAGAGAGAAATCGAGTTGTATAGCTAACATGAAGCGAGGGGTGAATATATTTTTGCTAAATCTCTCGCCCATAATGAATTCATGAAAAAAAGCACGACTCGCTATATCGTTGGATTTGGTTGATGGGTTTTCATAGGATGTGAGAGATCCACACCCAAACAAACCAAGCAAGGAAGCAAGAAAATGAAGCTAATGATAAAACAAAGAAGGAAGAGAGAGTGAAGCTCGAAGATGCTTTGCTTCTCTTGATTGATATTTTTACTCGTTTTGTTACCGTTACAAATGAGAAAAGTGTACTCTACTTTTATAGCTAAAACAATTGACATCACTAACGACTAACTAACTTTTCTAACAACTCAATTCAACTAATCTAATGAGCTAACCTTTATTATCTAGTTATTTACTAACATATCATCTCGTCGACCCATATATAATTTAACATCCCTCCTCAAGTGAGAGTTTACAAAAGATTGCGGACACCTAACTTGCCAAGAAAGGAGTTAAGCTCGAGTTTTGCCAAGGGCTTTAGTAAATAAGTCAAGCAACTTGTAAATGAGTAGAGACAAAATGAGGAGCAATCATCCCAAGTCGTAATTTTTCACGAACAAGGTGACAATCAAGCTCAATGTTCTTGGTTCGTTCGTGGTAGACAGGATTGAATGCGATATGTAAGGCAACTTGATTATCACATGCCAAGGAAATAAGGGTTAAACCATGCACTCGTAAATCGCCGAAGAATTTAAAAGCCAAATAAGCTCATAACACACCGATGCCATAGCTCGATACTCTAACTCGGCGAAGGACTTGGACACAGCGTGTTATTTCTTGGTTTTATAAGAAATAAGCATGCTCTCCGATTGAACATAAAAACCTATAATAGACCCGTGACTCATTGGGTAAGCGACCTAATCGGCGTCACAAAAGGTCGTTAAGGTCGTGGCTTGATCCACTCGGAAAAAATAACCCCTACCCCAATGAACCTTTGACATATTTCAACACTTTATGAGCCATTTTCAAGTGAGGAGTGCGAGGATGGGACATGAATTGGCTAAGAATGTGGACTAGATAGGCCGGATCGAGTCCGAAAATGGTGAGGTAGATTAACCTCTTAACCAACCATTGATAGATAGAAAGGTCATCCAAGTGATCGCCATCGAATCATTAAGTTTGTGATTTTGATCCATAGGGATAGTGCTTGGTTTGGCTCCTAAAAGACCAAGCATCAATGATGATGTCCCGAGCATATTTAGGCTGGTTGATATAGATACCATTATCGTTGCGAAGAACCTCAAGCCTCAAAAAGTAAGTTAAAGCTCTAAGGTCCTTAATTTTAAACTTTTGATCCAACAAATGCTTCAACCGATCAATGACCTTCCGGTCGAACCAATGAACACCACATCATCAACATAGACCAATAAAGCTATAAAATAATCCCCATCATGATGAGTGAATAGAGAATGATGACATTGAGATTGACAAAGCCTCGTCGACAAGAAAATAGAAGAAAACTTTAAAAACCATTGGCGAGAAGCTCGTTTGAGTCCATATAGTGATTTGACCAACCGACAAACAAAGTTAAGTTCCAGCCCTTCGCACCATAAATCCCGTAGATAACTTCATATAGACCTCCTCATTTAAGTCTTCATGCAAAAATGTATTGTTAACATCTAGCCGAGCTAAAATCAGCATTTAGTAGCAAGAACAAGCTAAGAGAGTCCCGATCGTTGTCATTTTGACTACGAAGCAAAGGTATCCCGATAATCAAGACCCTCATTTTGTGTATAGTCTTTTGCAACCAAACGTGTTTTGTATCGTTCTACCGAGCCATCGACCTTATACTTTACCCTATACACCCATTTCCAACCCATAGCCTACTTTCTAATAGGTAAATCGGTGATAAACCAAGTATGGTTATCCTCCAATGCCTTAATTTCAATGTCATGGCTTCCATCCATTTTGGATGCCGATAGGCTTCCGAGGAAGAAATAGGTTCTTTGTGTGTTTTAACATTAAGGGCAAGGGAATGATAGGCGAGGAGGCGTTGAATGCGGAGAAATGAAATTAGACATGGGATATATGCATTTGGACTGTGAAAGGCCATGTGTCTCAAAGATATGGAGTAGTAAAAAAATGAGATGAACAAATATAATCTTTCTACCGCATACATGAGGTGCCCTATGTCTTTCCGATTTTCGAGAGATAATGATGAGAGAAGGTGAAGGACGAGCAAAATCTATGGTAGAGGAATCGAATGAGATAAAAGAACAAAATGCCGACTTTGAGAGGGAGTATCGGATGAGGGAGGTGACTAACAAACTCACTTAAGTCGGATAAAAAGGCATAAGTAACGAGAGGAAGACTCGATACTTTTGGAAAATAGAAAGACAAACTCAATAAATTGAACATCACGACCGATAAAGATCTTGTGAGTGGCTAAGTCATAAACTTTGTAACCTTTCCGACCATGTGGATAGCTAATGAATACATAAGGAATGGCTCAAGAACCGAATTTATCTCTATCGTGGGCGATGGTAGAGACATAACCGAGACACCCAAAAATTCATAAATGTGCATAACTAGGTAGATAATGAAAGAGGAGTTCAAATGGTGATTTGTTATTGAGGATAGTGGAAGGAATTTTATTAATAAGGTGAGTAGCAATCAAAACACATTCTCCCCAAAACTCAATACGTAAAGAAGCTTAAAAATATAAGGCTCTAACTACTTCAAGGACGTGTCTATATTTCCTTTCAAGAATCCTATTTTGTTGTGGAGTATGAACATAACTACTTTGATGAATGACTCCATGATTAAGGAAGAAAGATTTCGTGGTACGGTTAAGAAACTCGGTGCCATTTTCAGTTCTAACAATCTTAATGGTACTATGAAATTAGTTTTTGACAAGGTTAAAGAAGGATCGTAACAATGAGGGAACCTTACTTTTGCAAACCATCGGATAAGTCCAAGTGTTCCTTATGTAATCATCCATAATTATGAGAAAATAACAAAAACCATTATGTGTGGGAACCTCACATAGTTCCTAAACATCATAATGAACAAGATGAAAAGCCGAGGAAGAAGAAACGTTACTTTTATTAAAGTGGTAATCTGGTTTTTTAGCCAATGGACAAACATTATAATGCACATGTTCTACATCATGTAAACCTGGAATAAAAGAGATAAAATGTCTAAGTTTATTGAACGAGACATGACCTAGCCTTTGATGCCACATAACGAAGTATCTAAAACAGCTTATGGCTTGACTTTGAACATTATGAGCTAAAAGTGAACGTTTGGACTCAAGTGATTGATCGGCGATACTAAGACAATATAATCCATTCATTGGTCTAACAATTTTCACCCCTATCTTTTGCACATGGCCCCGTATATGACAAGCATTGAAATTAAATGTAATAGTGCAATTTGAATCTCCGATAAGTCGATCGACAAACAGTAGGTTATGTTTAAAATTTGGACCAAACAAGACATTACGTAGTATGAGATAAGGATGTATAGTGACGGATCCTAAGTGTGTGATAGATGCCGTTGATCCATCGAGTAAATGCAAGAAATGAGGATTTCGAGTTTTGTTGGTGATTCTAAAATTGAGAAATAATGAGTGATATGATCGGTGACACCACTATCAATAATCCAATCATCTATGTTATGGAATACGAATAAGCAATGACTAATACCATCTAAGCTTTGAACCGAGTTTTGGTTTGATAGAGATTGATTCCGTTGAATTAGGTATCGAAGAAATTGATTCATTTGATCTAGAGTAAATTGATGGTTGGAATGAAGTGCATCATTGGCATTGGTATCTTGAGACATTAAAGTGTTTCCAATACTTGCATATCTACCGTTTAAACCTTGTGGAAATGGACCTTTAGATTGATTTCCGGACCTTAGATGTTCACCTTATTCAGCATTATGAATCTAAGTTTTTGGTTGATTTTCCTAACCACTCACAATATTCCTCTTCTTTAATTTATAGCTAGGTGGATAACCATGAAGCTTATAACATTTTGCTCGACATGCCCCGGCGTTTGACAATGCTCGCACCATAGATTTCTTCCGGTATTGTAATTCCACACTCGATTGCCTTGTTGTACATTATTCCTAGACAATAGTGCTGTCTGTTATATCCTCCATTAGCATGAATTATGAAATCTACATTTGCTTTTCTTCTTGTTGCACCATGGAATAAGTATCCTTCAAATATGGCAAAAGGTTTCATTAGTAGAATTTAGCCTCTAACGGGTTTAAAGCCATCATTCAATCCCATTAAGAACTACATTAGCCTTTGTTCATCCTTTTGTTCCTCCCATACTTTTACTACTTCACAGTTGGCATTACCTCTACATATTGGAATATATGTCATAGCTTCCAATTCATCTCACAACTCGCTTGAGTTTAGTATAATAACTCTTAATACTCATATTTTCTTGACTACATGAAGAAATTGCCTTTCGCGAGCCATAAATCATGGAACCGACATTATTTGAAAACCTTTTTCTCGCATTCTCCCACATAACGTACTGCAGTGCTTCCATGGAGTATCAATTTTTTGATTTCTTTGGAAACTACATTAAGTATCCAAGAAATTACTATGTTATTAACTCTGTTCCCATTGTGGAAGATTCGGATCTCCTTCTCTTAGTTTTGGAATATCACCATTGACAAATCCTAGCCTGTTCTTGCGGACGAGTGCAATTTCCATATATCTATGCCATGGAATATAATTTACGGCTCCAATTAGAGGTTGGCTTACAAGCATCATTCCAGGTACATCTAAGCTTAACGGATGCGAGAGGATTAGAAGCTATCGTTAGAAACGAATCACTATTTGCCATTATCACACTCTTGAATCAACGATCGTTTTTCTCCGATACCATGTGAGAAATCCACACCCAAGCAAACCAACAAGGAAGCAAGAAAATGAAGCTAAGGATAAAATCAAATAAGGAAGAGAGAGTGAAGCTCGAAGATGCTCGCTTCTCTTGATTTATATTTTTATTGTTTTGTTATCGTTACAAATGAAAAAAGTGTGCTCTGCTTTTATAGCTAAAACAACTAACATCACTAACGGCTAACTAACTTTTCTAACAACTTAACAACTCAATTCAACTGATATAATGAGCTATCCTCCATTATCTAGTTATTTACTAATATACCATCTCGTCGACCTATGTATAATTTAACATATGATTCATTGATTAATTAGTTGTGGTTCTTCGATAAATTTAACATGCATTTCACAATAATAATATTACTCGCCATTTGAAAAAAAGTTACCATAAGTTGCAAGATGAAACATGAAAGATAAAGCCATAGAGAAAATACATAATTGTTTGCTTACCAAATCCGATAACCATCGAACATATTTTTGCCTTTAATATAGAGGGTTTTTTTTTCATACCTAAAAGATGAATTTTTTTCAAAAAAATAAAAGGAAATTGAGTTTTTGTTCACCATAGTTAACATACCTTTTTTTTTTTTTTTTTTTCGGATCTAATAAATGAGGTTGAGAAGGGATGGTGAGCTTTGTTTATGAAACATAATATTGGAGAGAGATCGGTGGAGATGAGTTTTTTTTCATAATAATGAAACTGGTGAGAGGAAAGACGAGCAACGATGAACGGAAAAATAGAAAAAAATGAGATAGGATCATCCCATGGTAAAAAGGCTAGGGAAAGATGAAAAAAATAGTTAACAACCCATGCATTTGGAGCAGAAAGGAAAAGGAATGAAATATAAGATTTTAAAACATATTTAAAAGAAGAAGAAAAGAATCGTGCGACTCGAATCAACGTGCACCATGAAGACATCCAATCGAACGGCCGGCATTCATGGAAAAAAGCCCAAACATTACTAATTCGAGGAAAGCGAGAGGAGGGCAATAAAGAAGAGAAAGGAGAAAAGAGCTGCTCGCAAATTAAAGGAACAAAAAGGAGGCCAAAAAGAACGGACAATTGATAGAGAATGAAGGGTGAGCACAATATATCCATAATACAATTCGAGTCTAAATAAGCATTAATCGAACACTTAGAGTCTTTATTCTTTTAGTTTTGTTTGTTAATACATACATACATACATACATACATACATACATATATATATATATATATATATATATAAAATAGGTTTTTTCTTCTATGTTTTTGGTAAAAAATAATTCATCTTCTACCGGATGATGCATTCTACTTACTTTTATTTAATAAAAAAGTAAGGTAGGTGACTCATTTTAAAAAGATTGTTTACCTTTTTATTTGAAATCATGGTAACAATTACTAGTTATAGCAGGTGTTTGAAATAGTAATGAAACTAGTGATAATTCATACTTTTCTTATTTTAAAAACACCGTCCACATTTGTATTTATAAAAATATTTGTCTAATATAAGTGATAAAAAAGTTCAATTTTTGCTATCTATGAATAACTAATTATAATTATCTCTTAATGATAGCATATCCGAAGTGATTTGATTTAAGAGAAGTACTCAATAAAAAATTAAATATATTCGATATTGGTTTAGTCGAAAAAATAATAAATGTAATTTCGATTACTATAAAATTAATTTAAAAATACATCATATAATATATAATCGAGTATAGAGAGAGGTCAAGTTGTATAGCTAATATAAAGAAAGGGTGAATATATTTTTGCTAAATCTCTACCCATGATGAATTCATGAAAAAAGCACAACCATCGTATCGATGGATCTTATTGATAGGTGTTGATAGGATTTATTGATTAATTAGTTATGATTCTTCGGTAAATTTAACATGCGTTTCACAATAATAATATTATTGTCATTTGAAAAATAAGTAACCATAAACTGCAAGATGAAACATGAAAGAGAAAGCTATGGAGAAAATACATAATTTTTTTAGGATGCAACTCTTTTATATGAAATAATTATTAAGTTAAAAGATGTGTTAAAAATCTTCAAACTATTAGACTAAATAGCACCCTCGGCTATGAAGCTAAGAATTGAGTTTTTTTTTTTCATTTTTTATAAATATAATCTAATTGTATTCTCGATAATTAATCAATATACATTTCATCTAGTGTATTTAAAATATTATTATTATTATTATTTATTTATTTATTTTTTTATCTTGAACTTTCTTAGATTCGAATGCAAGAAAATATACGGCACAATCTTATTTTTTAGTTCGGCTAGCAACATAATTCTGGCGGGAATAACAAATTCTTCAGTAATCTGTTGACTTGCTACATACTAATTAAGAGTAACGCTAATTTCTCTGCCAAAAAAACAAAAATAGAAGTACTAGTTTTAAATCTGGCCACCTATTTATTAAACTAGAACATCGTACGGTGTTTTTTTTTTATTTTTCCCTAACTACTATCCATCTCAGAATTGAATCACAAACTAGACACTTCATGTTAGAAATTAAACATGAACCACTGTATTCCTTATTTCCGACAGCAATATTTAAACGGCTTGGATTGATCATAGCTTCTGCTGCAAAATCAGAACAACAGAGGCATTTTTGTCTTGTACCAAACTTTATGCAATCAAACGTCAAGCCAAGCCAAGCCAAAAGCTTGAAACGAAGCTGCTGGGTAGTGACCGGTAACTTGATGGGCAGGAGAGGAAAATGACGTACACGTGTCAGAATCCAGTTGTCGGATCTTATCCAAGCAAGTAAAAATTGCAGTCGTACTTGTAGATAAATGAACCCATCATCTTATCAAAAGATAGGTAGCAGTTTGTTTTTTTTTTAATTACTTTTTATAAAGAAATTGAAAATAATAAAAAAATGAGTAAATTTGAAATTTGATTTCAAGTCCGCCCTTGCAGCTGGATCGCACTCTCCAGCATCCCGCTTCTTCCTGAATTTCGGATTCAAAGTGCGGGCCCCGTCGCCCCACATGCTCTCTCATTTTACAGAGCCTTTTTTTTTTTTTTTTTAATCTTTCATTTCCAAAAACAAAAAGACCAACGTGATTTTTCTTGGTTTGCCATGGTTAAATTAAATAGCAAACTTGAATATTTTTATACTACAAAAATTAAGATAGTATTTGTTGAAGGAGGTTGAACATGTCAATTTTACTTTTAATTGTAAAGATTTTATTTTGTTTAATCGAATTCAGTCGCATCTGTTCATCAAATACATGTTATCCTAAACTACGAAATTTAAGAAAAAAATACTCCTAAAAAAATATGAGTCAAGAATGAGAGTAGCGCACATCTCTTTCAAATTTCATGTTCCAAACAACAAATGATGACACTATAATAGAATTAATTAATGCTAGTCAGTATCATAATTCATAATAGAACACTTATAGCAAGTTGCTATAGTAGATAGTTGGGCAGTTATAATGACTCATCTAGACTCCTAGTATTATTATTCAGTAAAGAAAAGTCAACCAATCTTAATAATCACATACACTAAAAAAGGGGGGAAAAAACAGTAAAAGCAATGTTGGATTGCGGATGGTGAATTTCAAATTTCGTCGAAATGTTTTTTCTTCTGGGACAGAATGTTTGCACCACGCAATGCCATTACTATAGGCTTGGTTCAAAAAGAGGAGGATTAGGAGGGTAGTTTGGGCTAAGGAATGTAGGCATGGTGGGCGGCAGAACTGGGTTTTGGGCTAAAAAGTCCTCACGGGCAAAACAGTTCTCTTTGCTCTTCCTAAAATTCATGGAAGAATTAAAAAAAAAAAAAATATATATATATATATATATACACACGCATGTTACGCCTAACCCAAAGAACATGCGCACGTAAAACACAGCAGAAATTCTGTGAGATGAGAGTATAAAAAGCATCTGGAGTAAATTATAAATTAGTCTCTCTAGTTTTTCAGAAAGAATTATATAGTCCCTCTTGTTTCAATCACTAAATAACTAATCTCTGTGTTTTATAATCTATTTGTAACTGAATTCCTTTTCATTTTAGTAAATAGAAATTTTTTAACAAATGAAAAGATTGATGAGAAATTTTTTTAAAAAATTAAAACAGTATTAAATTAACCATAATCAACACAATTCAAAGAATTAATTAATTAATTTTTAAAACAAGAACTATTTAAACCATTTTGCAGAACTAAGAGACTAATTTATAATTTTACTCCAAGCATTTGCATGGATGTAGAGTAGCCTCCTCATCCCTGCACTACGAAATCCAATGGTACCCCACTCAGTGGCTCCTCCACTGATGGGCAGGTTTCCTTACAGCTAGGCTGCATTAAATTGCAGGTGGGTCAAGATTGATAAAAGATTCAACGACCAAAATGCATCTTCCATTGTGGATCATTCCCCATCCCAAATTCAATCAAATTATATGGGGGTATGAAAGGTATATGGATTATCCACGTCCAACAGTTATCATCTGAATTCAAAAGAGAATAAGAAACCGTTCATATCCTACATCAGTTTTTTTTACAATATTTGAGCAGGTTCACAGCTGTGATGCCTCACTTGCAGAAAACAAGTTACCGTACAGTTAAAAGTACATGGAGATGCAAATAACCAGGAAAGGTAGGGCAGGATGGGTGATTGTCATAATAATTGGATGCTTCCATGAGAATCCAAATCAAGATTCAAGAACCACGGGTTGATACTGGCTATCAAATAAATTGCCCTATCTGCGGTAGCTGCGGTCAGCTGACAGAGAGCGATCCTTGCGCCTCTTATATGAATCAGAATAATCATCTCTCCGCCGACTATATGGAGAGCGTGATCTTCCTCTCCGGTCCCTTGAATAAGGGTATCTGTCTCTGTCATCCCATCTTCGAGGCGAGTAGCTGCGGGACCGTCTATGGCCACGACCATGACCTACATGTTTTGCACCAACAGTAATACTATTAGGAAGAAACAATTGATCACCAGAAAGTAGAAACAAATGCAATGTCTTTGATCTTTGATGAAAAATTATGAGACGTTGCCAAGGGTCATGTCTTTGATCTCTGATAAAAAATTATGAGACGTTGCCAAGGGTCAAAAATCAAAGCATCCAGATAAATAAGAAGTTAATTTTCTTGATATGTGAACTAGAGAACTTGCATGCCTCTGAAAATAGGAGCGAGACTTAGACTAATCACGCCAATTTCTGAATTCAAATGGCATAGCTTTCTAAAATCTAAGATTTTCAACCTGCTGGAATGACAACCATAGGACTGAAAAATAAGAAGAAATGCCAGGTTTGCAACATGTTCAATTTGTTTTGAGCCTACCAAGAAGATTGCTCACTTTTAGGAAATTAATGGGTTGATGATGAGAACAGTTTTTCCATATTGAATGTGACACCTACGAGAGTATAAATTGAAGGGGACCAAATAGTCTCAGTTTTCCAGGTTAGGCAAAATCATACAATGAAAAGCATGCAGAGGAGATCTATAACTAGAGCCATGTTAGATTAGCACACAAAAGACGATAAATCAAGATATCACAAAGAACCCAAAAGTCCAAGATTTATCTATTCAATTCAGATCCAAGTATTCTTCAGTAAACATCAAGCTGTGTATGTTTCGGAAAAAATAAGTTTCAGAAATTTGTTTTCTTAATTTTCCCCCATTTTTCGATATTTGTTTGACATTTAGAAAAAAAAAAGTCATCAAAATTTGATTTTTAATCGACAAAAATTAATAGACTATTTTTGGAAAAATAACTTCTGAGCTAAAAAAAAAAACATTTTCTTTCTCACACGATTTGTCTCGCTCTCGAGTTACTCACCTTTCTCAATATATTTTAACAATTTTTTTCTATCTCTTCTTTTTTTATTTAAAACATATCAAATTAATTTTTAATTATTTCTTATCAATTATTATTAATTATTTAATTATTTTTTCTCTATTTCTACCAACATTTGGTTTTTAAATTTATAAATACATTAATTATTCTTAAAAACCATTTTTACACTTAAAAATTATTTTTATGATAAATATTTCAATAATTTATCTTTATTTTTTTTTATGATCACAAATACCACCTAAACTATATTTAAATGATTGAAAATGATTATTATAAGAATTCAATTATTTGTAAAAAAATTTAAAACAGATTAATTCATTAATAAATACATTATTTTTTCAACACTATTCATTTGTAATTAAATCAATAATTTGTGATTAATTTCAATCAATTGTAAAATTTTATTGATAATTGAAGTTAATAATTAGTTATAAATATAAATTATTTCAACATTAATTTTTTGAAACCAAAAGAATAATTATCTACAAATGATAACTAATAATTTGTAAAACTATTCTTTAGACTAAGTTATTAGTTTAATTTTTAAAATTTTTTTTTATTGATTTACCAAAATAACAATGCTAGGATTACCTAGAAATTTTTTTTACTTAATGTAAACATTGGCTTGATTTTGCCCCAAGTAGTTTTGATAAATTGTTTGGTGATTCAATTCCAACATTAATCTAGTTTGATACACCAACATATCGGTAGCTCATATGCACTTGTTTTGGTAGCTTTTTGTATATGGACTATTATGAATGTGAGATCTTTTAAAAAATTTTATTTTGTTAAATTGTGAATATACCTTATTGAAATTCTCTTAAAACTCGTTGATGTAATAATCACAACCTGTTTTTATATTTTAAGTTTTTGTATCAAACAAACGCTGGAATATATTTTCCAGCAATTGTCAAACATCAGAAAATATTTTTTTGAAAAATAACTATGTAAAAAATAACTTATCTAGAATTGCTTTTCCTATTGGAAGTTGTTTTCCATCAAACAAGCCCAAATTGACCCAACATTCACTTATGATAATCCATGCTCAGTTGATAAAAGAATTGCCACACAAATGCAAAGGTAACTCTGGTACATACCTCGCTTATCTCTTAGTCCCTGATACCTGCCAGGAGTTGGTGTCCTACCACGGCTTCTTTTTGCCTGCAATAAAAATAGAAGTACAACAGAATTGTATTAAGGAAGACTGGTGGAAATAAGGAGAAGAGGTAGATTAACTGAAACGAGTTACGATGCCTCCCATGTATTGCCCTTTGAAACTCATTTGTGTTAAAGGTGATTAGGAATTGTCATCTGGAAAAGTGATAATGATCCTCAAAAACAATGTCCGGACCACTGCAAGTATTTTATTTTTTAAGAGTGTTGCCCTGCTACTCTCGCCATCCTGGCTCATGTTGACTAGTACTCAGGACATGAAGCCACTATTCATCATTGTTTGTTTAGTACACATGACAGAGCAAACTAATGCACTGGGAGTAGCATACTCGTCTAGCACAGGCTATTTCAAAAAAAAAAAAAAAAAAAAAAAAAAGCAGCCAGGTCAGGTACTGTTACTAGCGAAGTAGAGGAACATAGGGCATACAACCCTCTGCAAAATAGTCGAATTTGAATCGATGAGATTGAAATGTCGATGCAGAACTCATGTCGTGATTCGTGAAGGAATAGGTTCAACTGTTAAGACCTTAGATTGTGAATTCGATGGAGTTACACATACCAGACCTGCTGGCAAAGCTTATCAGGCAACATTTTCTGAAGAAAAAAATTCGAATAAAAAAAGATACGTGAACAATTCAGTCCCCCCTAGATGTTTCCCTTCAAAGTCCATCAATGGGAACAGTACCTTTTCCACAGTAATCAGTCGTCCTTCAAGCACCGAACGATTCAAATACTTGATGCAACGGTTAGCATCTTCAGTGGTTTCCATGGTAACAAAAGCAAATCCACGAGATTCTCTGGTGCGAGGATCTGTTACCAGATGGCACTCCAGAACCTGAGAACATAAAATAACATTCTTTGGCATAAAAATCTCTGATAACATACTGCAAGATAATACACCTTCTTATAGTAAAAGAGAATTAGGGTCGATCCCTAGTTGTTTCTACTTCAAACTGGAAACTTGCTACACGGACAGGGGAGCCAAAATGAATAAACTGTAGAAATTGAACAGGATGTAGCAAATGATGGATTATCAGATGAAGAATGGCATGCATTATCACCACAATGATACAATATTACATCAGAACCTTCAAAATCCATAACCACCCAAAATTTAAAATTTTCTTTTCAAATCCAGATATGTAACTGCTCCCTAAAGAGTTTCACATAGAAATCTGTGCAACATGCATCAATGCCAGACTGCACCACTGCAGTCATGTTTGAGAAATCTGTAAACAACATTACTTGATCATAGCGTGTCAGGGCAAATCAATCAGGACAAGCACAATAAATGATTTTGCCAGAGATATACCTTTCCTTCACTGTTAAAATACTTCTCAAGATCACTACTTGTGACCCTAGTCGATAATCCAGTTACGTATAAGTTATTTCCAGGGTTCAACGCATCATCAGAATCATTGCTCCTGAAGTAACAAAAATCAATCATGACTTAAAATCTCACAAAAGAATACTGACAGAAACACACACAAAAAAGAAGAAAGAAAAAGAAGCGGACCGTATTACCTGGAGCGACTTCGACGCGACCTTGACAACGATCTTGACCGCCGGCCTCTACCAGGTGAACCTGAATTGCGTGGCGAAACAGACCTAAGGATACCATAAACAACAATTTTGTAACATAGTACTAATACTCGGAATTCTAGCAATACAAACATATAATAATAATCATAAATTATTAAGAAAAAAAAGAGAAGACATCATGAAGAAAAAGACTGACCTTCCTTCTCTTGCGTAAGACATCTACAGATATTAAAAAAAAAAAAAATAGAAACCCTTCGTTAATTTAAAAAAAAAGAAAAAAAAAGCATGTTGATTACATGGAACAGAATTAGTAAGCACTAGGAAATAAATATCATAGGTTTAAGTACACCATAAGATAGAAACGGAGATCCATGAAGGTTAGAAACAGGAAGAAATAAGCTTGAAATTCGAAAGTGAAACCCTAGATTTTGAGTTTGATTACCTTGAGAGTGGATTATTGGCTGAGTCAACTCAGATGAACTAAAATGGGTTTATGGGTCGTCTTGTATATCTCTTGGCTCTGCTAAAACATGAGAAATCGATGGGAGCAAGGAATTCTCAACCCACTCAGCTATTAGTATTACAGACCACAGGCGCGAGTGAATTACAACCCAATTCTTTTTATAAGTGGCCCCCACTTGTTTTTTTTTACTCCCTTTTTCTCTCATTCTTTTTGTACAGTTTTTTTTTTTTTTCCTTCGTCTTTAACATCATTTGTCTTTTACATTTGGACGTGCATTTTTTTTAATTATTTATATTCCTAGAGTTGATTTAAATACTCATTACTGTAAATAATATATATATATATATATATATATATATATATATGAGGCTTTTACGGTTCATTTATTCTAATATTTTTTTAAGGGCTGGTCAGCAGCCCAGCCATGTAGAAGCAGGCTCAGTTGGGCCTGGTCTGGCTCACAGCCCTGCACAAGCAGTCCTGTTTATTTTTTTTTCTTCTAATAATTTATTTTTTTATTATTAAATTAGGTATGAAAATACAATAATTTTTTTTTCAATTTTACATATAATTTGACGGTAATAGAATATATATATATATATATATATATATATATATATATTCTATTTTAAGATTTTAGTTTGAACATATATATCCGATTATATTATTTGTATTATTTAAAATTTATTTCTTTAATTGTTTGTTTCTTATTAAAATTATCATCAAATTAATTTGTTTTATTTATATATATATTTTTTATTAATAAGTTTGATTATATATATATTGATTTTGAAATAAAATTTAAGAACGTGATTTTTTTATTTTTTTAAATGTATTATTATTATTTATAAGATTGATTATTTTTATAATTTTTAAATGAGAGCAGCATAGTTGTATATATAAATTTTGATCAAAGAGAACTAATAGTGTGTTTTAGATAATTTGACTTAAATTTTTTTTAAAATAATAATAAGTTAAAAAATAATTTGACTCAATTTTTTTTAAAAAAATTAATAATTAGTTTAAAAATTCACATGTTTTATTATATTTTTTTATTTATATAATTAGAATTTATCAAAACTAATTTTATAATATTTTTTATTTAAATCTATTCACTTCGATATATTTCATGTGATTTCGGTGGGCTCACATAACACCAATTATTTGTTATTTATTTTTTTATGTTTTAAAATATATATATTTAAATAAGATAATTTAATTAATGTTTTGAAAGAACCTCTTAATTATTCAAATACAATTTTTTATATTAATATTATAAATTACTTTGTTAATAAATATATATAAATAAATAAAGTTCGCTTAATATATATATTCTATTTACATTAATCTTCAGAAAATAAAACTTCTATTCACACCATATCATATAAATCGTTAACTCTATATATATAATGACTGCGTGAATGTGACTGTAGCATGATTTAGGTATCTAACTAGTTTAACTCTGTTCTAGTAATCTAGTCCGTTAGACTTATTGGTGGAATGGCCCATGTACGTTTAATTAACCCATTTCTCAAAGATATGAAGTTTCACAGCATAGAAGCGATCGAGGGACCAGGCATCTGGGTAGCAGAGTAAATGGCTAGCCCATTTATGTCCATTTTAAAACCATAAGGTCATAAGGATGTATTCATGGACCACGCACAGACTTTTACTAAGAAATCTGAAGATGGCTTAAAAACTTTTTCGGACAACAAATATGGATCATTGCCCTTTACTAATTATTCTCAGTTCAATTATTGTCTTGAAATATCGGGGCAGTAAACGTATTCTCCTGATGGTATTGGGTTATCCAATTGTTAGATCTTTTTTCCCTTTACATGTATTTCTCCTTTCCAGTCCATCAAATAACAAATGCTCCAGAATATTACTCTTCATTTTAGGTAAAGCATGATCAGAAATTATGACAACAAAATGTTGTAAGATAAATCTTCGTCCCTGACGCTATAAGTGATAAAATAAACCTTGAAAGCAAAATCATGTAATCCAACTTAAAACATAATAATATCGGTGCATGTGAGCTTTTTTGTGCAGAATGGCACTGAATCAATGAGAAGTATACTAGCATTCCAGCCGTTAAGTGAATCCAATCAAACGCCGAAGTATTTCTTCCAACGGTAACGCAGAATGCAGGATCCAAATCCCAATCCTGTAACTCCGACTAGAAGAAAACCCTTAAAAAATCTTTCCGCTATTGCAATTATATTAACTTTTCCGGGCTGATTAAGAAATACACGTGTTTAAGTCCCTAGCGATATGACAGATTCAATACAGCAAAAATCTTGAGTTCCAAATAATACAAGATGGAGTAATGGAAAACTAAGGCCAGAATTATCAATCAAAACCTCACTAACCAATACAGATTTTACAAATATAAACCAAAAATTGTAATCATAAAAAAAGAAAAGAAAAAAAAGAGATGATAAAGATGCAGAACACTAGAATCAACTCTTGAGAAGAGTCTCAATGGCTTCGAAGAAAAGTGGTGCCATCTCAGGGTTTGGAGTCTTGATGGCACACTTGACCCCAGGGGTTCCAACAACTGTGGTGAGTTCGATTAAGAAGGGAATTCCTCTAGGGATTTTAGCTGAAAAGTAGAACACATCCTGGTTTGCATGCTTTCGCTTTGCAATGAAGAACATGTTTGATGCAACAAGCCGGTCTAATGTAGCTTCTACACCATTCACTGTAATGTCTGGGAAGTCCTTTGAGACCTCATTTGAATCAGGAAGGGACCTCCATGTCTGCAATGGAAAAAGACATGATATTATGTTCTAATAGCAACAGTGAAAAGAGCTAATAAAATGATATCTGCTTGCAAAGTTTCTGAATTTCTACCCTCACAAGCTTCGGGCTATAGATAAATTACTAATTTGCCTATTAACCCCAACCGTACCATATCCCACAGGAGTTTTATTAGAATCAGACTTTGATGAAGACCCAAGATATCCCAAGTCCTTGGATAGCATTTCACCTACCACAAATTTCTTTCCATCCTTTCTATTCTAAATATAACAATAAGAGAAAGACACACCACGCTTAAAACACATATCCACAGTTCTGCAAACAGTGTAGACTTTGGAAATGACTAGTCGCCTGATACTTCACTAACATTGCTATACTAGCAGGCTCTAAGAGAATGAGTTGCCTTAATGCTTGAAGAATCCGGAGAAACAAAAGTCTTCAATTTAATACTAGGTGGAATACTGAACCAAGTTTCCAAGTATCAATCATCACAAAATAAGTATTTTATCAACTTTTTAGCATACAAAATTTGGTCAAAAAAAAAGAAGAAGATCAAGACTTTTTCTCTTTTTACCTCAAGAAAGCTTCCACGTTCCATCCTCCCATCCTCAGTAAAGAATACATGCAATGAGATTTTGTCATTGAAATACCATACAGGTTGTTGATTATTTTTCACAGCAACTTGCAAAAGTGAGCTTGGAGGACCAGCAGATGTATTTTGAAACAAAACCATAGGCAGCAGAATTGCCGCTGATGTCCCAGGTTGCAATTGGGGAACCTAATCAATAATGGTTAGTCAATTACACACTCAGTGAGGAAAATTCCATCTTGAAACAAGCAAAGGTTAAACACTACCTGCAGAGGTCCAGCTGCTGCGAGCCCAAATGAATTCTTGTTAAACTGGATCATGAATCCATCCAGGGGAATCTGTGAGTTGTTCTCAAACAGTAAACTATAAAAGATCTGACCATCCCGCCCTGTAAGCTGTGCACTAATTTGTAAACCCTGACCAGTAGATGCTGGCAGTACAACAGGCAAAGGAGGGCTGCAACATGGTCACAAGATCCAGTAAGTATCATTTACAGCCCAACAGTTGGAGTGTCGGTGAATCATGTGAAATTCATTATTAGATGAATCTGCTTCAAGTTCTCCAAAAGCATATGCTAATTAGCATTGCAGCCCAATGATTCTGTACTAGTGGGGACAGCACTGGACTGGGTATAAAACAGATACCTGCTTTATCTAGCTCAATAAATACCTATTAAAAATGTTCGATGGATACTAAAGTGGGTAAAAATAAAAAAATGCATACCCACTAAATATGGTTTCAGGGCATGTATACCCACTCTTTACCCTCTTAATACCTATTAATTTATTTAGATTTTTTATTAACATACAGGGATCTAATTGCATAAAATTTAAAAATTAAGGATCAATTTTTTTCCCAAGAACTTTGAGGACCAAAAAAACTTTTCTTAAAAACTAAAAAGAGTAAAATGAATATTTTGACATATTAAATTTAGCGGTATTAAATGGGTAATAAATGGGGGGTAAACTAATATGATATGGGTAAAGATTTATATGGTGATTCCTTAATAAGTAATAGGTATGATATTCTTTTCATAGATAAAGTAAAAAATTGAATTAATGGGCCGGGTAACCCCCATTGCCATCCCTATGTACCAGTCTCAACAAATCATATAAAGGTCCACTAGACAGTTTGTGCAGTCAAGAAGCTTACCTAACAGGAGTAGAAGCTTGGTCAACAGGGACAATAGCACTATTATCCATGCCCAAAAGATCACCCATCAAATCCGGCACCGGAGCAGCTGGTGGACTTGTAGATGGTGCAGCTGCTGGTTGCCTGGCTCCAGCATACGGAACATTACTTGAACTAGTAGGTGGCGATGCTGCACTATCAGCAGGATGAGCAGATGATTCAGAATATGCTGCTTCACTCCCTTCGGCATATTCATCATCTTCAGGTCTCTGTGCTGCAGTCTTCACACGGGTTACAAAAACTTCTGGGGGCTTGTGATACACAGACGACAATGTCGCAATGTTGGCAAGAAGCTCATCAAGAAGAGATGGATCAAGTTGGTTTGAATCATCACTGATCACAGGCTTCTCAGCTAACACAACATCTTTAGCTGCCTGAAATATCGAAGTACAACCATTGCACATGATATAAAACTTACAAGTGGTACATCAAAAATAGACATGCAATAGCACATTTAATGTAAAAAAAACAGACTACGTCTGTCCATTGCAAAATCACACCTCAGGATCAGTTGATAGCAGACGCCAATATATGTATGCACGATCCCTTAGATCAGGATTGTCAGTTTCTACAGTGGCATTATTCAAAACAACCTGTAAGAGAATTTCTGCAGTGAGAACTAACTTAAACGAATGTCAGAATTCTGCATGTGTAGCTGAATTGACATTAGTTACGAACGATCAAAGGACCGATCATGTTCTAGTCAACTCAAAGGTGTCAAGCAGGGGAATGAAAAAGATTTAAAGTACATGCGACTAGACAAAAAATCAAAACCTGAATCATCTGTTGAGGCCCTTCAGTTGGCTTCTTAAGGAAGAGTTTGACAGTTGCAGTCAGCAATTGCAACTGGACTTGTGCAGGCTCTTCAGGAAAACTCTCCAAGAAGCTCTCCAGGAGCTCATCAGCATTGTCAATTCTTTCCGCATATTCACCAATAATCCAGATCATCGAAGCCTTAAAGGGTAGGATAAAAAAGTGGTAGGAGGCATACAAAGTATGAGTTCAGACCATAAAACATGAAAGAAAAACCTGAAAAAGAAACACAAGTACCTTAGCTTCTGGTTCATCTAGAGTGTCTAAGCTCTCACAGAGTGTCGCAATGATTGACTCATAACTGCAAAGGAAATTCAAATTAGCATGGATGAAAGAAAAACAAATAATTTCACATTTATATGACATCAAGGGAACTAAAACTGTAGCTTACGTGTTAGGGTATCTTCTAAAGATGTCTTTAATAACTATGATAGCCTCTTGAACCACGTAGTTTACTTTAATCTTGATCAGCTCAAGGAGAACACTAATGCAACGCTCGGCAGCTCTCTCTAACTTGATTGCACAACGGCCAATGGCACGAACAGCCTTTCTAACAAAATCTACATCAACTTCTGTGGCATACTCTTTGAACTCCAATAGAACCTGGAAAATAGCTCACCAGAAGGACAACACAACCTAAATAATTTCTCATCAACTCATATTGAAAAATAAAGGAAATGTGCCTAGTCTTCCTCACTCCATCAATATATTACCTGGTCTATATTGCGGTCTGAAGCAAGCTTTATCATGATTTCTAGCTTCTCCATCTTCACATAAATGGGGTCATTGTACTTGCAGAAGAAAACCTGGACATAAAAGAAAGGTGTTTGATAAGCATCTCTCCTCAATCTTGAAGTAACAAATGTGAAGCGTGCCTAGGAATTTCCATTCACCTTAATCTCATGGGCAAGGATCGTAGGCCGTCTTTGTACAATCAGGTTGATGTTACGCAAAGCAACATACTGTATCTCTGGCTCTGCAGAAAGTAATGTCACGAGAGGAGGAGCCATCTTCTTGCAAAGATTTCGAACCACATCAGTGCTAGTTATAAGTTCCATTTGTTGGAGGATCATCTATTAAGAGAAAAGGAAACAAAAATGTGAAAAATGATTGAATTTTGACTAGTAGATAACTGCCAAATGCATCCCCAATAAAAAATGATGAAGCAAACACCATTAATGGTAGCATGTCACCTTAACAGCTGAAAGAACAACTGCACAATTAGCATGTTGTAGCCGTGGAGTAACTCGTTCCACTATACCTTCAGCATCCCGAGCATCAGCTGGCTTGTATCTAGATAGCGCATCCAATATAAAAATTTGGCCCCACCTAAACAAGCGTACATAGCATCAGATAAATTTGTCCAAGCAAAGAACTTCCAAAAGAATAAACAACAATCAAATAGAAGTGATAAAAGCATGATAATCCTAAGCATGGAGGCACTCAAATTCCAGTGAAATCATATAATGTGCTTCACTTCATATGCAGCTCTTAGCATACCCAAGCAGCTTAGATGCTTAACAAATTACAAGTAGCATAGACGTTTAACAAATTACCTAAAATTTGCAAAACTAGAAGAGGGTTGCCAGAATCCAGAGGTCATAAAAGTACAGGGCTGTTTTGGGTGTTGATAATGCCACTCCATATTGTTATAATAGCACTTCACTCAACAAGGTCATTTGGTCTTGTAGTGGTACTATTGAGTGGAGTGCCACTACCAATTGTGGAGTGGCAATAGCATTTGTTGGTTATTTTATAAACAGCACGTGACAAAAGGAGTTTGTGCTCACACTTTCAGACAACTTTATGATGGTACCATACGCAGATCATATTTTAAATCCAGCTTAGACTTGATTTTCAAGCATTTTCCAGACCATCACTATCACAAGATGTTCAAATTACTAAAAAGAGAAAACAATGCATTATGATAGAATTACACCAGGATTAAAACGGTTCAAGGAAAAAAAAATCAGCTTCACTTAAATGAAGGATCTCACCTGACACAACCCCATGACTAGTATCCATTCAGAGAGCACATCAAAATCAAATGGCTAAAAGTTAAGAATGTTAAAATGCACAGGTGTAGGTACACATGAATGGCTTGGAATTTATACATATCCCTACACTTTGTTTAAGATTGAAAGCTAGAACAAAAATACAGTGTCAATAAAATATTGTTCGCTTACTCTGTGCACTCATTAAGAGCAGTAAGCAGCTTTGAGTGTGTGTGACTAGTAATCTCAAAGATGGGTCGGGCACTATTGTCTTGAATTTCGGCAAGAGCTGCCACAGCATTGGCAACAACCATGGGGTTGTTGTCAGAAATCAAATCCTTAAGAGATTCCAAAAAGCCCCTATCCTCAACAAGCTCAGCATTTATGTCATAAAGTTTGGCTACACAAATGGCTGCTGTCTTGCGAACATAAGGATCGTCATCCTATGGTTACAAAAAATACTGGATTAAACAGAAACCAACATGAAATTAAGCTTGAAACAAAAAAGATGCCATGTTGTTAAGAATAATAATGAGTACATGCAACCCAGCAAACCATTCCACTAAATTCCAACGAGCAGCATGCATGAAAATCAATCCTTAAAACCCACCTTAAGGCACCTCTGAAGTGGATCACATAGATACTCTGTTATTTTGTCAACACGAATGCAGCCCATTGTCCGTACAGCCAAAGCTCGAATTAAGGGATTTGGATCTTGTGAATCCTGGATATATACCATGAATACAAGTTCCATAGAGATACAAAGAGGCGATGTGATAATGTTAAACACATTAGAGAGAAAGTTTCACTCCAGTTCTTACCTTAACAAATGTATTTACTGCAAGTATCGCCAAATCAGGCTGACTTTTAGCATAATTTATAAGATATAAATAAACCAGCTTCTTGAGCTCCAAATTTTCCGTCTGCATGCAGTTCACTACATCCGTGAACAGCGACGATACATCCTTCCCAACAGTCATCGCAGCAATCACCTTCTTAACAGCATCTTTTCTCTTATCCTGCATGATAAGATACATATGAGGAGAAGCTTCAAACTGATTCTAGTGAAAAACTAATAGACTATATTTATAATAATATGAGGATATAATAAATCCAATATCCAAAAAACCATAAGAAAATTTCAATATTCCCATATTGCAACTAGTTTCCAGTCCGACAACTACATAAAATGAGTACTAGCAAAAACAAAAAAAAAAAAAAAATAGGTCTCCATGCTAATATTGCACGAAGTACTGTTAGTATAATTTTCATCATTAGTAGAAAAACCTATAAAAAATGTACAAAATCAGCCTAGCTAAAAATCCCAACATCCTACTGAGATATTTAAAATCCTCCAGTATATCCATATAGTTAAGTAATAACCTAGGTCGATAAAATCAGTCACAAAATCTTTACATCGCATAACATAACCCTTTTAAAAGCATTACAGCTGGAACACAATTCTTCCAACCACACCCGAATCCTTAAAATCTATAATGCCAAACATCAAAACCATACAATAGATTTCATCGGATCATTTCGCGAACAGAGAAGTTGCATCACATGATCCCTAAGAGCTACATTTTAATTCCCACTAATACCAATAAATAAAAAGCAAACCTAAAGAAATCCGTGCTCGCTTCGAGTAGTACAAACTAATTCCCTTCGATTTCTCAGCAACAATAACAGAATTAATAAGAAGTCGATCCTCCAATGAAATTGTAGTTGCGGCAGAAAATTCAACGAAATCAAACAGTCAAAACGAGAATCTAAGTCAAAATCAAACAGATCTAACAACGCGATCGAAACGAAAACACTAATTCATTTTCAGATCAGAGATCAAAATTACAAACATTTGATTAAATACAGTAATAGCATGTAGAGAGAGGAAAAGGAGAAGGAGGGCGGCCGGACCTTGTACTGAGAATTGAGCTCTTCTTTGAGCTCAGGGATTTCACCCTTCTTGGTTGTGGAGAAATACTTCGAATCGTGACCGCTCATGCCTGCCTGTCTGCTTGTCTCTGCAACTTTGCAAATGGGGAAAGACAGAGCGAGCCAGAGAGAGAAGACCGAAACGATTTTTTTTTTTCTCAAGAGAGAGGGGAGAATTGAGACAAATCAAAATCAATGGCTCCGTTTAAGAAATGGGTTGATGGCATACATGGTCCCCCCATTACTAATTTTATTTTAATTTGACCCTTTTGTTTTTTTTTTCGGTCTTAAAATCACCCATTCTTTGTTCTTTCATAAAGACCTGAGCAAATAAAGGATAAATTGGAATTATATGATTATTCTACGTACTCATGATTTCCATTCCAAGTTCTCATAAAATTACAGTATTGGTAGCTCTTTGCAAAACAATCGTTTCTTTTTTCATGTCATCTATGTCAATTGAAATTCATGTTTTATTTATTGATAGAAAATTTCAACAGACAAATGGAGCCTACTTTCTTTTATCAAACAAGACGAAGCATTTTGGTTTAACAAATAGACTATAATTAAAACAATCATGAATAAAGATGGAGAAGGGGCTTATTCTTGATTTCTTTACTTGCAGTTTAACTTAAAAGGATTGACGGAAAGGAAATACCCTAAAAAAAAAAAAATGTCTCCAAAGGACAACAATCCCAAATCGCTTTTCCATGGGTTTTTGTAGCCATTTCACATCAGTCACATTTAATTTTGGATGAAATTCTCAAATCCACTGTCAGATTCAACTGTCTCGCGTCCTCAGTTAGGAATTTAACCCATCAACTTCGGTACCATAGGGACGGCCAACACGCATAATATAAAATGAGAGTATTGATTTTTTTCTTTTTTTCTTTTCATTTTTTACTCCATTATCACAGCTTTTAGATTGAACTAGATTTTAACCCGGGCTTCGTCGTAGGAATTTTTTAAAAAAGTGCAGTGTCTATCGAGATTGGCTGAAGTAAACAACAACATATGTGTTTTGAAAAACAAGAGACGATGTTAATGTGTTAATTTGGCTAGCTGAGAGGAGCCACAAGCTAACAGATGATCTTGCATGTTTGTTTTGGTAGTTGTGTGGTCAGTTTTATGATTTTTTGTTGACGAGTATATAACGGCAAATGCTTTTGTGGGTGATGCCACGAACTTTTTTTATTTTTTAATATAAAGAAACTGGGTTAAGCAACCATAATTCTTAATAGTAAAATACACCAGATGTAAGAGTGTTGTTATTGGATCATGATTTTATTTAAGCCAACGGTCTTCGAAATGCTTGCAGTAGTGCCCTATTAGCAGAGGTGCCTAGCCCTCGATCGATTGGATGTTTGGTTCTACAGGGGCATCATCAACATCATTAAAAATGCCGATTGCAATGAAATGGTTGTCAATATTTGGTCGAAGTAGTTGTTGCGTCGAACCTGAAAGATTTTTTCCAAGCTAATGACATTAAGCCCTTGTTTGGGTATTTTTTTCTGGGAAGAAAGAAAAGAAAAAAATTATTTTTCACTTGTTATTTAGATAAAAGTAGAAATAAAAAGAAAGAAAGTATATTTTCTTTGTTTGGATAATTATAAAAAGAGAAAGAAAAGAAAATATATTATTGTATATTTAATACCACTATGATTATATTTATATATTTAAATACTTATAATAAATTTGTATGAATATTTTTTTTCATGAAAATTGCACAAATGATAATAAAATAAAAATCTAGCATGTAGCATCTATCCGAAATGATAAGATGAATAATGAATCGTCTCCATAAAATAATCGATAATTGTTTACTAATTAATTAATTCAATAGCCAATTTAGATTAATTATCAACATAAAATTAATTTAAATATGTATAACATGTATTATTATCTATGCATACAATAAGTTAGTTGCTTTTACCCATCATTTTCTCAGCTTTTTTTTATTAAAACATTACTATTTAGCAATAAAAAAAAGAGTTTATTGTAGCATTGCGAACAATCATGGAAATTCAATTGAATCACAAAAAATGAGACAAATTGCATATTTGGACGGATAGGTATAATCCGTTACTCGGGTGAACACTCCAAATTTACTATAAAATTAGCAAAGTTCCCGAAAGCCCAAGATAGCTTTTGTTGCTTATTTTTCTATCAAAAAGACTCAATCAAATGCGACCTACAACATCATGTCGTGATTGCCAACAATCCAACACATGAAAATATGTTTAGCCTTTTTCATTTTTTAATAATAATTTTTATTTCTTCTTTTGCAATAACTCCAAAAAGTGTTCAAGGGATTGTTTTGAAGGATGCTTTGTGTCTGTTTTGGTGGGGTTTTTTGGGTGGTTTTGAAGCTGGTTTGGGGGTGTTTTTGGAGCCGCTTTGGTGGTTTAAATAGCTTATCCAAAGAGGTTGCTCGAAAGAGTTTTGTGGGGCTATTGGTAACAGCTTTAGGATCGATTTTGGGGACTTTTGGTAGGTGTTGGGTTCTATTTTGGAGTTGGATTTGGGGCTATTTTTTAGGGTGTTTTAGAGATTCCTTAGTATAATTTAGAAAATCAATTCTTACTTACCGTTTTAAGCTCGCAGTTATTGTTGACGAGTGCCAAAGAAATTGGAACTTACTCTTACAACGTCATCAAATGTGCTCCATTTCTTTGTTTATGACTTATAATGTTTTTCTCGTTATCAAAATGTCTTTATTTATTATTATTATTTTTTTGTTGCAATGCCAAGCAAATGAAAAAAGTATGCGGAATTTCTTTTAAGCCAAAGAAAATGTACAAATCTAAGGAGATGAGGACTAATAAACGAGAGAAAAAACAAAGGATAGTATTAGTATAATGAAACTGTTTTCATTTACCTAATTTACGGATCTCGGACCTTTACAACCAAGAAACCATAGTAGAAATAGGATCTTAAGATCCTATGCAAATCTTCCAATGTCAAGTGACATGTTGCTATTGTGAACTTTAAATCCACGGATTCCATGTCAAATTCATTCATGACCAATGCAACAATACAACAACCTTCTCTTTTACATCGATCTTCAATGGCTTCATCATTGTTAAACTTGAACAACTCCTTGGACTTGCAAAACTTCATAAAGAAGAAAAATCCAAAAGCTCCCATAATCATCAAACCACTCATCAAGAAAACCGTCTTAAGTAGCAATAGCCATTATAAGCACCAAAAATGCAGATGGCACCAAGCACATTATAATCAAACCTAGGCAACCTCATTGAAATCCTATAAGGCCTTTTCAACTCGGCAATTTCTTTCTCAACCAAATAAAAGATGCAAACTCCAACAACATACCTCAACTATATATAAGTTCGTCGACGAAATGATATCGGTAAAATTCATATATGAGACTCCAATTATGATCAAAGTGGATATCAATATCCTCACCCAAGGTGTGTTGAACCTTTTAGACACACATTGGTCACTACCGATCGATCCCCACCGACTTTTATCCATGAAACAAGCACTGACCATCGCGAAAGCGAGAATCAAGTAAAACACATAAGTGAAGATCATAACCACAAGTAAAGCCATAGGAAATGTTGTTTGGGCCGAATCCACTTCACTAGCTATAGTGCTAACATTGTCCCAAAAATTCAAGTTCCAAAAAAGTGTGTTAAAGAACAAAGTCCAGTCCTTTTTCACACCTTTTCGCCCTAAGCTTATCCACCTATGAGGATGAAGCTTAGGAATTGCTATCAAATACATAATTATAAAAGGTGAAATTGAAACAAGACCAAGCAAAATAGCAAGCATAACCAACAATAGTCAATCAAATAACACATTACCCGCCGTAAGTTATCGATGTGCGAACCAAAAATGTGATAAAATAAATAAATAAATAAACTTAAAATCCAATTGCCTCAATCACCAACCCAACTATAAACATAAGCAAATTTATCAAATGCTCGAAAACACTTCATGTGAATAGGTGTAAGCTTCGCTACTCGAAAACACCTAGTGCCGACCGAGAGAAAGCACGAGTAACGCCAATAAGCGATGTGTAGAACCGGTGTGCCTTCGGTCCTTGTCTTGATTTGCAAATTTGTTTTGTTAGGTTAGCAAAGGAGGGGGACAACCGAGGTAGGGGCAAAAATGTGAATGAAAAAAATTACTCGCATCACGTTTTTCCTACCGGTTTCCTCTCAATTTTGAGAGGAAAATGGGTCCCACCTATTTTATGTTTTTTTATTATTTTTTTCTTTCCATAACTTTCTTCCCCAACCCAAACATAAGAAACTTTCTTTCCTCCCTCATTTTCTTTCCTCTTCTTCACTTTCAACCGAATCCAAACACGGGGTAAGCAACGGTTGTGCGATAAACACCTTGCTAGTGCAACCATATTCGAACATAAGTTGTTCATAATCGTAACCATAACATGTTGTAGCAATATTCCGAGTGATCAACATCATAGCTTCAATTAAGCCATCACTCGATTATGCAAACCACATGGTATCCGAAGCAAAAAAGTTATCAAACTTAAATGCTTGAAGTCGCTAGCATCGATCACTATAATTATATATTTAAAGTTGCTAAGAAAGTGTTCTAATTATAAAATAGGTTCTAATTGCACCGACTCTATGTTGTGGACATGAGAAGGTGTAGTCGATTGCTTCGGCATAATTTTTGCATTGTGAGCATGATAAATACCACTAGGTCTATATGGATAATCGTAGCTCTAATGGTATAGGAAATAGAGTGTTGAAAAAAAATCATGAATCAGCTGCATTTGATAAATGAACAGGATTAAATATCTAAGTAAATTTAGCAAGAAAAAAATTGGAAAAAAAGCCAAGGAAGGCGATAATCTCAAAGCGATCGATTGGCGATCGGAGCAAGTGTTCAATTGTTATCCTGTTTTTGTATCTTGCTTAACATCCTTCTATGTCTCTAAATTTTTTTAACAAATGCAACGATAATTTTTTGAAGTTTCTAACCAAACCGATGTATGAGTTTGAGATAAGGAAGGAAATATAAAAGTTTTATGCACTTTGTTTGGTGGGTAAATAAGAAGGATTGTAAAGTATTTT